GCTTACGCCTGTCATCTCAGCACTTTGGGGAATCACTTAAGCCCAAGAGTTTGAGACCAGCCTGGGCAAAATAGCAAGACCCCATCTCTTCAAAAAATGAAAAATCAACTAGGCATGGTGATGCATGCCTGTAGTCCCAGCAACTCAGGAGGCTGAGGCAGGATCACTTGAGCCCAGGAGTTAGAGGTTACAGTGAGCTATGATGATGGCACTGCACTCCAGCCTGGGCAATGGAGCAAGATCCTGTCTCAGAAAAAAAACAAGTATAGCATATACATATACAATTATATGTATATATAGCATAATATGTATATATAGCATATACAATTATGTGCAGTACATAATACTTGACAATGATAATAAATGACTATATACTGGTTTATGTATTTATTACACTATATTTTTATTATTATTTTGGAGTATACTCCTCTACTTATTAGAAAAAAAGTTAACTGGAAAACAGCCGCAGGCAGGTCCTTCAGGAGGTACTCAGAAGAAGGCACTGTCATGATTGGAGACGACAGCTCCATGCATGTCATTGTCCCTGAATGCCTTCCAGTGGGACAGCATGTGGATGGGTTTGGAAGACAGTGATATTGATGATCCTGACCCTGTGTAGGCCTCGGCTAAGGTGTGTGTTTATGTCCTAGTTTTTAACAAAAAAGTTTTTTAAAAAATTAATTGAGAAAAGCTTATAGAACAAAGATATGAAGAATGAAAATATTTTTTCAGCTATATGTTTGTTTGAAGCTAAGTGTTATTACAAAGCCATCAAAAAGTTTTTAAAAAATTAAAAGTTCATAAAGTAAAAAAGTTAAGCTAATGTTAATTTATTATTGAAGAAAGAAAAATAGTTTTTATAAATTTAGTGTAGCCTAAGTGTCCAGTGTGTGTAAAGTCTACAGCACTGCACAGCAATGTTCTAGGCCTTCACACTCACTCACTGACTCACCCAGAGCAACTTCCAGCCCTGCAAGCTCCACTCATGGTAAGTGCTCTGTATAAGTGTGCTGTTTTTTATCTTTTATACTGTATTTTCACTGTATCTTTTCTATGCTTAGATACACAAATACTTGCCATGTGCTCCAGTTGCCTGCAGCATTTAGCATAGTAACAGGCTGTTCAGATTTGTAGCCCAGAAGCAATGGGCTATTCTATAGAGCCCAGGTGTGTAGCAGGCTGTACCGTCTAGGTTTGTGTAAGTGCACTCCGGGATGTTCACACAACAGCATCTCTTAACAACTCATTTCTCAGAACACCTCCCCATCCTTACAATTATGTAATACATGATTGTATTAATACTTAAAAATGAGAGAGTGAATTGGATGCTTTTATGTAGGAAAATAGGAATTACAAAAATTATCTTAAGAAATTAAAAAAAAATTACAGTAGAAATTGAAAAGGTAGTAAAAATTTTAGCCTTTAAAATGGCCCAAGATCCAACATTTGTATTATGAGGGCTACCAAACTAGCAAGGAATAGATCATTCCTATATTATATAAAGTTTCCAGGAACAGAAAGAGATAGAAAGCCTCCCCACTCATCTCATAAAACTAATGAAAGGGCCAGGCACAATGGCTCACACCTGTAATCCCAGCACTCTGGGAGGCCGAGACTGGAGGATCACTTGAGCTCAAGAGTTCAAGACCAGCCTGAGCAAGAGCAAGACCCCGTCTCTACTTAAAAATAGAAAAAATTAGCCGGGCATGGTGGCACATGCCTGTAGCCCCAGCTACTCGGGAGGCTGAGGCAGGAGGATCTCTTGAGCCCAGGAGTTTGAGGTTGCTGTGAGCTAAGCTGATGCCACGGCACTCTAGCCCAGGCAACAGAGTGAGACTCTGTCTCAAAAAGAAATAAAACTAATAGAAGATCAATGCTAATAAGTAAAAGAGAAAAAAGCAATAAGTTATAAATATGAACATATGTACACATAGCTACCATTGTTTGCAGACAACATGCTAATCCTAGTAGAAAATCCAAACAAATCAATTGAAAACCCTATATAACAATTGGTAGAATAAGTAAAGTAGAAGACTAGCAAAGAAAAATGTCACTTTCCGGTACTGATAACAGCTAATTTGTAAATATAATAGATATCTTATGCTATCACTTTTTCTAGTCAATATTATACTATAAGTTTTATCCAATGCAATGAGAAAAATAAATCAAAGGATAAGAATTGAAGATGAAGATCGGCCGGGCGCGGTGGCCCACGCCTGTAATCCTAGCACTCTGGGAGGCCGAGGCGGGCAGATTGCTGGAGGTCAGGAGTTCAAAACCAGCCTGAGCAAGAGCAAGACCCCCGTCTCTACTATAAATAGAAAGAAATTAATTGGCCGATAACATATATATAGAAAAAATTAGCTGGGCATGGTGGCGCATGCCTGTAGTCCCAGCTACTTAGGAGGCTGAGACAGCAGGATTGCTTGAGCCCAGGAGTTTGAGGTTGCTGTGAGCTAGGCTGACGCCACAGCACTCACTCTAGCCTGAGCAACAAAGAGAGACTTTGTCTCAAAAAAAAAAAAAAAAAAGAATTGAAGATAAAGAAACAAAATTAAATGCAAAACAATTAATTGCCAATGTAGAATATACAAAAGAAGCTACAGATAAATTGCTAAAACTAGTAAGAAAGTTCAGTAAATCTTCTGTATATGAAGTCAATTATATTCCCTCTACGTCAGTAGCAAACTGATGTAACTTTTAAAATTACAACTTTTAAACATACCTCTTTAAATGTGCAAGAAAATAAAGAAGATAACTAGCAATAATTTGACAAAGATACATATAGGGAAATTATGAAATTTTATTGAAGACATTAAGCAAGGCCCAAATCAATGGAGAGGTGCACCATGTTCCTGGCTGGGAGACGGCATCACAGAGTTGTCAAGATTCCAGTACAATTCCAGTAAGACTCTGAGCAGAATTCATCTGACTTGACAAATTGATTCTGAGGGTTCCACGGAATACAGAAGGAAAATGAATAGCCGAGGCAAATTCTGAAGGACAAGCTGCAGGGACTAAGAGCGCAGCGTATGGCAAAGCCACAGTAACTACGGCAACACGGTTCCTCAGTGCCCAGATAAACAAAGAACCCCCAGAGGAGAATGCAAAGGTTGGCCTAATGCCCAACACCTGCAGATATGACTTTATGTCAGAGCAGGTATGTCAAATAAGTAGGTACAGATGTACTATTCAATAAATAGTATTAAGAAAATTGATTATCTATACAGAAAAAGATAAAAGAATATTTCTACCTCATATCAAATATGAAAATAAATTTCAAGTTAATGAGTTATCATGAAAACAAAACTTTAGAACCTTTAGAAGAACATAGAGGAGAATGTCTTCATGACCTAGAATAGATAGGAAGGATTTTTTAAACAAAATACAAAAAGCACAAGGGAAAAAACATAAACTTGACCACACTGAAATTTAAAACTTAGAGTCATTAAAATACACCATAAATAAAACTAGAGACAAGCCATAGACAGGAAGAAGATAATTGTAATGTATATACTATAAAGAATGTATAAAGGACCCTAGGCCGGACGCGGTGGCTCACACCTGTAATCCCAGCACTCTGGGAGGCCCAGGCGGGCAAATTGCTCAAGGTCAGGAGTTTGACACCAGCCTGAGCAAGAGCAAGATCCCGTCTCTACTATAAATAGAAAGAAATTAATTAGCCAACTAAAAAAAAATATATATATATATATAAAAAATATTAGCCAGGCATGGTGGCTCATGCCTGTAGACCCAGCTACTCTGGAGACTGAGGCAGGAGGATCTCTTGAGCCCAGGAGTTTGAGGTTGCTGTGAGCTAGGCTGACGCCACGGCACTCTAGCCCAGGCAACAAAGTGAGACTCTTCTCAAAATAAATAAATAAATAACCCTAAAAATAAACAAGATAAATAACCCACGAGTCAAATAAGCAAAAATATGAACATGAAATTCAACAGAAGATAAAATCTAAATTATCAACCCATTAAGCATTTTAAAACCAAATTAAAATATCAGTGAAACATCATATCATGCCCATGATAGGAGCAATATTTTTAAAAATCCACCACTAAGAGTTGATAAGTCTGTAGAGCAATGACATTTCTCCTGCACTGACAATAGGAGTCTAAGTTGGACAAACACATGGACAGCACAGAATGCCTCATAAAATGAAGACATGTACCTTCAACTGTCAACTCCACTTCTGAGCAGACCCCGAGACATGGACCTGCATGTTTATTGCAGTGTTATTTATAATAGGAAAAAAGAAAAAATTTGAAAAACCCAAATGACCTTTAATAGGAGGGTGGTTTTTTTAATGGTATGCTCATAGAGTATACTCCTATACAGCAGTTAGGATGAATGAACTAAGTCTAAAATATATGAAATGGCTAATTCCCAAAAACTTCACATGGACTGCAAGAAGAGCAAGTTTGCAGAAAAGGTACTGTGCATTACAGATAGTATTACTATTTACATAAAGTTGTGGGGTTTTTTTGTTTTGTTTTTTTTTTTTTGAGATAGACGCTTTGTTGCACAGGCTAGAGTGAGTGCCGTAGCATCAGCCTAGCTCACAGCAACCTCAAACTCCTGGGCTCAAGCAATCCTCCTACCTCAGCCTCCCGAGTAGCTGGGACTACAGGCATGCGCCACCATGCCCGGCTAATTTTTTTCTATATATATTAGTTGGCCAATTAATTTCTTTCTATATTTATAGTAGAGACGGGGTCTCACTCTTGCTCAGGCTGGCTTCGAACTCCTGACCTCGAGCAATCCGCCCACCTCGGCCTCCCAGAGTGCTAGGATTACAGGCGTGAGCCACGCGCCCGGCCTACATAAAGTTTCGAAACATTCAAAATGATGCTCTGTGTTTTCATATTTAGTGAAGGTATCCAAGCACTCGGGGAATGAGAAACACCAAGTTCATTTAGTGATTCAGGAAGAGGGCTTCCCTGGCACCTGGGATTGGCTGCATGGGTGTAGCTCTCCGTCTCTCCTGCAGGTGTGCCACCGGGGAGGCCTGGCAGGACATCATGCTGGCCTGCATGCCAGGCAAGAAATGTGCCCCGGAGTCCGAGCCCAGCAACAGCACAGAAGGTGAAGCTCCCTGCGGCAGCAGCTTTGCCGTCTTCTACTTCATCAGCTTCTACATGCTCTGTGCCTTCCTGGTAAGCCAAGTTGGGCTGCACGGCCTCAGATGATGAGTGTGCAGTTCCAGGGCAGCCCGAGCCCTTGATCTCTGCGGCCCCTGGTCAGGGAAGCCCATCGGAGGAGCTGGCGTGGGCAGAGTAAGTTAGTTGGAATGTCCAGCCACACTGAGATAAAGGCGAAAGCCCTGGGCCTGAGTGGGCTTAGCCAGCGTCTTGCTTGTCCATTCTCAGCTCTTGGCATGGTGGCATTGTCCCAGAGGACAAAGGGGGCATGGGGAAGCTTAGAGGGGATGTATACTTTTTTGGCACCTTGCTGTGGAGTGAGGGGAAGGTGGCAGGTATGGTCTGCCTCTATCCTGGGCGGCCTGCCCAGCGGCTTGGTGGGAGGGAAGCTGTCCACCCTGTGTGGGCTCATCCCGCACAGCTGTCACGGAAGCTGTGTCCAGCTGTGTCCAACTGGGTGTCCAAGACACCCAGTTCTAGGAGTGGTGGGATATACTGCTGGCCTTTAGAAATGTTGGCTTCTGCCGTGCACGGCACTGGCTAGCAGAGTGCATCTGTGGCCCTCGTAGAGTGCTTCATGGTACTGACTGTTTCTGCAGATCATCAACCTCTTTGTAGCTGTCATCATGGACAACTTTGACTACCTGACAAGGGACTGGTCGATCCTGGGTCCCCACCACCTGGATGAATTTAAAAGAATCTGGGCAGAGTATGACCCTGAAGCCAAGTAAGTTCCCAGAGGGAAATCCTGAGCCCGCAGGCTGAGAGGCTGTTGGCTGGCCACGCGTGCAGGAGAGGGTCGGATGGGCCAACACCGGGGCCGTTTGGAAATGCCGACTGCCTCGGACCCCAGGGTGAAGGGTCAAGGGCCAAAGAGAAGAGGCCAGGCACCTTCGACTAAGTCAAGAACACAAGAACATAACAACTGTCATGCTCAGTTGAATGGAAGCATAGGAGGTCCTAGTATCAGGAGCACTGGCAAGTGCTCAAGTCAGGGCGATCGGGGCCAGGTCGAGCTCAGCTTTATGCCCTCATTAATCGATCGCATTTGACTGACGCTCAGTGAATACCTTTCGGTCAGCTGGTCAGTTGATTGAAGCAGCAAGTACAGTTTGAGAATTCCGTTGCTCTACTGAAATCCTTCCACCTTGAACATCATGGACAGAAAGTTGTTTAGTCAAATCCAAACACGTGTAGAGTGGGTTTGCAGTTGTACCACACAATTCTGCAACTCTGCGCTGAGTTTGACCAGTAGTGCCTCACTAGCGTGTTCCCGGCGGGCGGGCTCCACCTCTCAGGACCCCGCGAACATGGCCCTCTGACTGCTCCCCCCTCCCCTTCCTTTTCCAGGGGTCGTATCAAACACCTAGATGTGGTGACCCTGCTGCGGCGGATTCAGCCCCCACTGGGCTTTGGGAAGCTGTGCCCTCACCGCGTGGCTTGCAAAGTAAGAGAGGACCTGGGTTCGCGGGCGCAAGAGACAAAATGTGGGAGGCGAGATGCCCATTTGTCTCAGGACCTGGCTTGGGCCACGTGCCTTAAAGGGATTGAAGATAGTCTTCTATGTGGCTAAAGAAGTGAGCCTGAGCCAGGCTGTATTTCAAGGGTCTTCCAGCTCTGATCCTCAGACCCTCTAAAGGAGCAGCAGAGAGAACACACCCGCCTCACATCCCAGCGAGCATGTGCTGTCCTGGATCAAGCACTGGTCCAGCCCATGACAGCCCTGCCAGCACTGTCCAGGCACCCTGGGAGGACTCCCAGCCCGGGGGCAAGAGGGCCATTAGAGAGTCCGTGCATTAGTGTCATGAGAGCTGGGGGGAGCGCAGCCTACATTAGCTTCAGCGCAGCCTGGATGGGGCTGAGAGGCATCCACGTGACCCCGAGACGGGCCCGGCAGGCCACGCACTAGGCTCTGAGCTTTCCAGTAGAGCCACTGCAAGGTTCACACTGTCCATGAGATCCAGAAGGATCCAGTCATTCAGGAAAGTGCAGCCTTTGGGCACTTAGCTCACAGGAGCTCGGGGACGGCATCAGGGTGGACGCTGGCGAGCCCAGGCCAGGCTTTCTCACCGCAGCCAGCAAGTGCTGGCGGCCGCCCTGGAGCACAGGGAGCGCACCTTGTGAGCGGGAAAGGGGGAAGCGGCAGCACAGTCCCGTCAGCGTCAGCCCTTCTGCCCTGCGTGCTGAGAGGACATGCTGCAGCCCCTACCAGCACGCCCTGTCCTCCTCAGCCCTGGCTGGGTGTGGGGTGGCTACGGCCAGGGCTCCCGGCCAGCGTCTGCGTGCGGCTGTGCTTTACTGCCAGCAGAGGCCACGGTGTGTGCTAAGCAGACCTCTGGCCTGGTGGGAAGTGCCTGGGCTTCCGTGCTGCTGCGGAGGTGGGGTCTAACCAGGACGCCCGTGGCAAGGCCACGATTCTCTCTGGAAAGAGTTTTGAGCACATTCTGGTGCCCCAGGCTTCACACCCCCAACCCACCCACTCGTTTTGAGTCTCCCCACAGTGTTCTCCTGTTGTGGTGGTTCTGTAGGTCCCTTGAGAACCTTCTGCTGTAACCAGCTCTGCCCCTCCCCCTGCAGCGCCTGGTATCCATGAACATGCCTCTGAACAGCGATGGGACAGTCATGTTCAATGCCACCCTGTTTGCCCTGGTTAGGACAGCCCTGAGGATCAAAACAGAAGGTAAGGGTGCCCGTGGGCACTGGAAAGCCACCCAGAAGGTCTAGTAGAGCACCCAGGAAGGCTCAGCAGCCTGCAGCATGCTCTGGGACATTCATGTCCCATCTGGCACCCCAGCAGGGAGCCAGGGCCAGGCTGCACTCCAGAGCATCTAGGAGTCTCCGCCTACTCGTGTTTTCTTTGCTTGCTGAATGGCCTCCTTGCCTTTAGCTTATTTATTTTGAATTTTAGCCTTCCTTCAACCCCTGGAAATTATTCTGGATGATATTTTGAAGTCATAGGGTATAGTTCGAAAACAGAAGGAGATGGGTTAGCTGAAGCAGGACCAAGCCCCATCTGGGTGGACTTATACTGGCTATATGTGGGTCTCTCAAGTGCTCAATTCTCTTTAAACTAAAAGAATCTGTGCTGGGAAGACGTTCTGGGAAGGGGACATAGTAACAAGCAGTGAGCAGGGTGGAGGTCTTCACATACAACTGCGCAGGCTATGCCCAGCACAGGTGCTCAGCTAGCCAGCAGGTCAAGGTTAAGTTCTCACCTGTGCTGCACCAGTCAGGCCACTCGCCCTCAGGGCTGCGTCCATCTGGTGGGGGCTCCTAGTTTGCACAAAGGCACCCTATGGGCTAGTGGGCTAACAGCAGCTGAATCTCTCTTTATAATTGATAAGGACACTTATCACTTACCACTCTAGTGAAAAGGCTGTATAAAATGTGCCTATGACGATTCCATCTCTCTCCAAGAGCTTCTAGCCCCTTGCAGTGTTTCTTAGAGAGTGGTCAAAAGACCACCTGCCTTAGAATGAGCTGTTGGCACTTGTTTAAAACACTACATCCCAAGTAGCCACACAGATCTACTGAATCTGAATCTCTGAGAGAGACTCAGGAATCTGCATTTTGAGCCAGCTGCATAGATGATTCACCACTGGTTAGAGCAGTTAGAGAAAACACAGATAAGACAAGTAGCATGTTTTCTTTCTCTTTTATTTTGTTTTAGACAGTCTTGCTCTGTTGCCCCAGCTAGAGTGCAGTGGCGTCATCATAGTGCACTGTAGCCTCAAACTCTTGCGTTTAAGCAATCCTCCTGCCTCGGCCTCCTGAGAAGCTGGGACTACAGGCATGCGCCTCCATGCCCCAGCTAATTTCTCTATTTCTTGTAGAGACGTGGTCTCACTCTTGCCCAGGCTGGTTTCAAACTCCTGAGCTCAAGTGATCCTCCCACCTCAGCCTTCCAGAGTGCTAGGATTACAGGCATGAGCCACCACACCCGGCCAGCATGTTTTCTTTTCCCCATCCTACACTTAACTTTAGAGGCTCAGGCTGCCAGTCAGTGTTTTCCTTGGTGCAACAGAAGGAGCCCTGGACAGGGCGACAGGAGGCTTGAAGCTGACTCCCAGTTCTCTCTAGTAACATGAATGTGAGCCATTTATTCTGTTTCTACATCAGTTACTTCATGTGTAGAATAAAGATAGGTGATGGTATGGTTCAGGGAATAACCCAGAGAGGGACCTTCTCTTAGTTAGATCCTCCCAGAAAAATAACAAATGTCTGAAATGAAAGGCAGCAAGACCAATCCAGCGAGAAACATGTCAAAATAATGAGCTAATCCCAAAGAAAGGAAAATAGGTCAAGTTCTGCTGCTAAATTAAAAAGAAAGCAAATGTCATTAGTAGCCAGTGCAATAACTCAATCTGAAATGGGTGTAAATAGGCCTATATCTAAACTAAATACACATTTAATGCACACATATGTAGAAGAAAAATTTGGGCCAGGTGCGGTGGCTCACACCTGTCATCCTAGCACTCTGGGAAACTGAGGCGGGAGGATTGCCTGAACTCAAGAGTTCAAGACCAGCCTGAGCAAGAACAAGACCCTATGTCTACTAAAAATAGAAAAATTAGCTAGGCATGGTGGCATATGCCTGTAGTCCCAGCTTCTTGGGAGGCTGAGGTGGGAGGATCCTTTGAGCCCAGGAGTTTGAGGTTACAGTGAACTGTGATTGTGCCACTGCTCTCTAGCCTGGGTGACAGAGTGAGACCATGTGTCAAAAAAAATTAGAAGGAGGCTGGGCGTGGTGGCTCACACCTGTAATCCTAGCACTCTGGGAGGCCGAGGCGGGCGGATTGCTTGAGGTCAGGAGTTCAAAACCAGCCTGAGCAAGAGTGAGACCCCGTCTCTACTATAAACAGAAAGAAATTAATTGGCCAACTAATATATATAGAAAAAATTAGCCAGGCATGGTGGCGCATGCCTGTAGTCCCAGCTACTCGGGAGGCTGAGGCAGGAGGATTGCTTGAGCCCAGGAGTTTGAGGTTGCTGTGAGCTAGGCTGATGCCACGGCACTCACTCTAGCCTGGGCAACAAAAAAAAAAATTAGAAGGAAATTTATTAATATGTTATTATTATCACTGAGTGGTAGAATCAGCAATGACTTTTATCTTCTTCCTTTAGTTTTGTTACTTTCCAAATTGTCTACAATGAATATTATTACATCCATGTTTAGGAGGAAGAGTTTTCTTTTCCAAGGAGAGAAGATGTTATAATGACTGCTACAGTGAATATGCTATAATACAATGTAAATTAAGGGTTGTAAGTTTTTGTTCCATAGAAGAATAAAAAAGAGTGATGCACAGAGAGAGAGAGACTCCACAAAGTTGAAGATTCATTGTCAAAGCTCACCACATCCCAACAAAATCATACCAATAGCTGATACCAATGCAGAGGAACCCACCAAAAATAGTCAAATACACAGAGCCAATCTTGAAGAAATAGGAATTCCAAAGCAAGGGGGCAAAGCCAGTCGTGTGAGAACTGCTACAGTCAAGTCAAGGATTAGACGCAAAGGCATTTCGGAACAGCCACCAAAGGGCCCGCCATGCGCCCATGAAGGGTGAGCCTCCGTCAGAGACACTCCCCCACAAACTTGTTGAAATCTTAAGGCTGGAAGACAAAGGCAAGTTCTTAGAAGCAACTAGAAAATAGGTCAGAGAACATCTAAATTTGTGATTAAATCCGTCCTCCCCCTTCAGACTTCTGAGAGTGGAGGGATAGGAGAGAAATCAACACCTACTTCAGAGAACCAGAGTCCCACCGGGTCTCATACCGCCCTTTCTCTGGAAACACAGAAGGAAGATACTCAGAAATACTCAGATGACCTGAAACAGTTGTCAGTGAGGGTCCACAGTTACAAAGACCATTCTTAGAATAAATTAAGTCCTGATAAAAATTGGGAACATGTGTTCATTTCCTGGGTCTGCCACAACAAGCGATCACAAACTGGGTGGCTGAAAATAAGAGAAAGTCATTCCCTCACAGTTCGGGAGACCAGAGGCCCACAGTTAAGGTGTCGGCGGGCTTGGTTCTTTGTGGGGCTCTGGGGAGAGCCCTCCCCTCCTCTCCTGGCTGCTGATGGTGGTTAGCGACGCTGCGTCCACCAGGCAGGCCACACCACTCCTCTGCCCCCGCTCTGCGGCCTCCTCTGGTGTGCACCCTCTCATTCCTCACACGGTCTCGATCCACTGTGACCACGTCTTAACTAAGTCCATCTGTGCAGACCCTGTTTCCAACTGAGGCCGCATCCTGAGGTTCCAGGTAGACATGAGGACATGAGATTCCAGGGGGGCATTATTCAACCCAGTAGAGAAGATCAGTGTGTTTGAACTTGCTGTATTTGACCAGTATATGGATTAGGACTCTTCACTTCAAGGGCAGAAACCTCCAACGACCCTACCCACAAAAGAAGCTGATCTGGCCTAAGTGAGGAGTGCTCAGTCACACCCTCTGTCCTGTGGCTCAGCTGTTTGGATCTGATGTGCAAACCAGGAGCTCATGAGCCCAGCGCTTTGTCTGCGCTGTCACCTCTGCCTCCTCTCCCGTGTGGCCAGAGGTGGCACTGAACGCAGGCAGTCTCTCGCTCTCGAGCACTGTTCCATCCGCCTCTCGTCGCCTGTGTGCTGCATGATAAACTGCCACAAACTCTGGCTTAGAACGACACCTACGTGTCAGCTCAGTTCTGTAGAGGCCCAGCTCTGGGGGGGCTGGCTTCTCTGCTCCGGCCGCACAGGGCCACGCTCAGGACAGCGCTCGGCCGCGGGGGAGTTGCCACCTCCAAGCTTATTCCGGTTGTCAGCAGAATTCACGTCTTGCCGTTGTAGGTCTGCGGTCCCCGTTTTCCTGCGAGCTGTCCGCTGGGGTCCACTCCCAGTCCCTGCAGATGCCTTCTCAGTCCAGCTCCCAGCACGGCTGTGTCTCACCGCCTCTCCTGCTCCCAGCTGGAGGGAACTCTCTGCTTTTAAAGGGCTCATGTGATGCGGTCAGGCCACCTAGATAATCTCTCTCTTTCAAGGTCATAGGTGCCGTGTAATGTAACCTAATCATGGGAGTAAAATTCATCATGTTCCTGGTCCCAGGGCCTGGCGGGGGCAGGCAGATATCTTGGAGACATCTCAGAACCTGCCTGCCACATCCCTCGTTCAGCTGCAGTCTCAGTCCTCCTGTTCACCACTGTGAGACCAGGATCCCAGAGGCTTCATGAGACGGGTGCCTCATTAAGTCTGTTTTACCAGAGGAGAAAGTAGACCCAGAGAAAATTCCAAACTGCAGAGACCAGCGTCTCTTGATTTCTGCTTCCACAGTTAGACTCGGAGGACAGAGCCCTCGTTGGCACAAAGGAGCCAGTGCTTGTGGGGAGACTTCTTCCCCCAATCACCCATGTTTTCTGTGGCGCTTCTAGGAGGCCCATAAGAAATGCCTCCCATGGGGAGCACCCCAACTGCTCCCCGCCGGGCTAGTGCATCTTTGAGCCGGCAAGCACGTGCCCCAGTGGAGCTGCCCAGCGGCCAGGCACAGTCCACAGGGAAAAGCGTCGAGTGCCAGGTGGGGCAGAGGGACCCCTGGCTGGCCTGAGCAACACCCAGCAGGAGGGAAGAGGAATGGCTCTGGACAGGACACAAGAGGGAAGGGCGCAGGAAGGGAGAGACAGAGGAGGAGGAAGGGGTAGAGATAGGAAGCTGGGGAGAAACTAAGCAAAGAAGAAAGAAACTGACGGGTCAGGGCCACATGTGGGCCAAATGCCACCACCTGTGGCTTCGTGCTTTATTCAGAGGAACCCACCACACTGGAGGGCTCTCCATGGCGCTGACCCTTGCATCTCCCTTCCCCCAGGGAACCTAGAACAAGCCAACGAGGAGCTGCGTGCCATCATCAAGAAGATCTGGAAGCGGACCAGCATGAAGCTGCTGGACCAGGTGGTGCCCCCTGCAGGTGGTAAGTGCTACCTGGATTTCTGCACCTGGGCCTTTCTCCCGCTGTGGTTCTTTCACCTGCCTCTGCTCCAGCAGTGGCACCATTAGAAACATGGCCACACCCCCTGAGATGGGACCTGCATTCTTGAGTCCACTAGGCTTACTGGAGATCTGTTTTCTCCAGACCCTTCCTGTGGGACCCAAAGGCCCTGTTCGTTTGGAGGGACAGGCTGTGATGCCTGCACGAATACAGAAGCAGACTGTCAGGTTGGAGCCTGGTACAACCTTGCGTTTGACATATGGAAACAGGCAGGTCCCTTAATGCTTAGAGGTTTGTCAGAACTTCCAAGGAAGCTCCACAAAGTATAGGTGTTCCCATAAGCCCGACCACTGTGGCTTGCTGTAGACCCTGGAAGGAGAACCCCCTGGGATTCCACCCCTCTCGATTGAAATTCTTTTCGTTCTTCCTAGAACAGTGTTTCCTGACCCTATCAAGCCCAAAGCCCCTTTTTTTTTTTTTTTTTTTTTTTTGGACAGAGTCTCACTTTGTTGTCCAGGCTAGAGTGAGTGCCGTGGCGTCAGCCTAGCTCACAGCAACCTCAAACTCCTGGGCTTGAGTGATCCTTCTGCCTCAGCCTCCCGAGTAGCTGGGACTACAGGCATGCGCCACCATGCCCGGCTAATTTTTTATATATATATCAGTTGGCCAATTAATTTCTTTCTATTTATAGTAGAGACGGGGTCTCGCTCTTGCTCAGGCTGGTTTTGAACTCCTGACCTTGAGCAATCCGCCCGCCTCGGCCTCCCAAGAGCTAGGATTACAGGCGTGAGCCACAGCGCCCGGCCCCAAAGCCCCTTTTTATAACAAATAGTTTATATTGCCCCTGCTATGATCCCAAATGAAAAATCATAAATAATGTAACCTTCCTATACATATAATTTCCAAAATATTAATATAATGTTTTAACTCTAATATAAAATATATTAAAAGCAAATGTTTTCAATATATAAATGCTAAGGCACAACTATGCCAGAAATTATTAACAGATGAAATGCTCACATGTACCTACTTATTATGAATAAGTTTGTTTAATGGAAGTAAGACAATACAGATTATTGTTGGCACTTTTTATTTGTCATTTTTAAATAAGGGCTAAATAAGTACATGTGTATATACATACACACACATACATACATACACACACACAATAACCACTATGTGAGAGTTACAATGGGGGACTCAGGTACACAAAGAGCATTGCCATCAAGGATACAATTTTCCAGTATGTGAACACCTCTTGATCAAGTGTAGTCTTTTGTCAATTTACACAGCAGTTATATTCCTGGAAAATTCTGGGTATACTAAAACCATGCAAAAAAAAGTCTTATGTCCCTATGTAAAACAAAATTAGGTTCTTAGCTCAGATCATTATAAGCATTGTTCCCCCACATGGACGTATAACATAATACTTGAAAGCTGTGCAGTGTACACCTGTGCTTTAAAGCAGCAGTCCGTAACCTTTTTGACACCAGGGACTGCTTTCATGGAAGACAATTTTTCCTCGAATGGATGGGGAGGCTGAGCTCAGGCAGAGCTGTGAGCGATGGGGAGCGGCTATAAATACCAACGAAGCTTCACGGGCTCGCCCGCCGCTCCCCTCCTGCTGTTCGACTGGTTCCTAACAGGCCACAAACCGTTGCTGGTCCATGGCCCAGGGGGTTGGGGACCACAGCTTTAAGGGACACGTCTACAACCACTTAATGCTGGTATCACCCCAAAGTCACTCTGACAACTAAAAACCATCCCACACATTTCCCAAGCATTCCTTCAGAGATCCTGCCACCCCTGTTGAGAGCTGCTTCCTGAAGGGAAAGCAGTACTCAAGCTCCGTGAAAACCCCCTAGAGTGGCCAAAGGCCACCTGACGTCATGTTTCATCCTAACAACACTTCTTTGAAGGCTCCCGAGGAACCACAGCCTTAGACGCTGCAGGGCTGCCCAAGGTTGCCTGGCGAGCACAGAGCAGGCTCCAGGCCCGAGCCAAGTCTGAGGGCACCCAGGACCCCGGCTCTTTCCACAACGCACTTCCTCCTCCCTGGCCACCCTGGACAGGGGCCCTGGGCTCTTCCTTCCCACGTGGGAGTGAGGCCCTCGCCAGACGCAAGGCCCATTACTGCTGTGCCTTCAGCTGTTATCAAGAGAGAGCAGGAGCAGGAGCAGGAGAGCCAGCTCAGGCCCCTGGGTCTGACCCACAGGGAACTGTCTGTCTCCCTCACAGGGAGCCAGGGGCTACTTGCTGGGCATGAAGTGTTCCCCTTGGGCACTATGGCCTCGGCACCATCAGGCTCACTTCTGAGGTAGAGACTGATGTATGTTGTGTGTGATCTTGAGTGCCCAGCCTGGCAGGGATGCAGCCAAGCCACCTGGTACAAACATCTGTCTGGTTTGAAAGAAAAACCCTAACTTCAACAGGAAGAAAAGTGCTCCTTCCACCATCCCCTGCATCCAGCCTTTGAGCAGGACTATATGTACACATGGGGTCTGGGGGCCGGCCGTTGATGACGGGCCTGTGGAATCAAGCACTGGCAGTGTCAATTAAGTAAAAAAAAAAAAATAGCAAGATGGGAAATAATTTTGATGATAGGCTACTTTTTCTGTAAGAAAAAAAGGATAAGAATATGTTCACTTATTTACATAAATCGTTTGCATAAAGAATCTCTGGAAAATACTCAAGAAACTAATAAGAAAAACAAGGGCTATCTGCAAGGAGGTGGTAACTAGGCAGACAGGTGAGTGGTGGGGGAGACCTTTCACCATATGCCTTTATATATGTATCTTTCTCTTTTTGAGCCATGTGAATGTACTGTCTCTCCAAAAAATTAAATTTAAAAAGTTGCCTAGGTGGCACATTCCTATAATCCCAGCCCTTTGGGAGGCTGAGGCAGGAGGATCACTTGAGCACAAGAGTTTGAGGCTGCAGTGAGCTGTGATCCCACCACTGCACTCCAGCCTACCCTGTCTCTAAAAAAAACGTTAATAAAGTTGGAGTGCTGAGAAAAATCAGTTACATCCAACTTGGTCCCCCTGCCTACCTCTAACTCCCTCTCCTCTCTCTGTACATCTCAGATGATGAGGTCACAGTTGGCAAGTTCTATGCCACTTTCCTGATCCAGGAGTACTTCCGGAAATTCAAGAAGCGCAAAGAGCAAGGCCTTGTGGGCAAGCCCTCCCAGAGGAACGCCCTGTCCCTGCAGGTGAGCTGCTGGGGAGGGGTCCACATCCCAGGGAGGTCCTGGTCACTTTCCTCTGACCTTGGCCAGGGTCCCAGTCTCTTGGCAGTCCCTTCAGAAGGAACCTTTCTGAGAGTGCCAACCTTTCTGAATGTGGCTGTGAGGATGGGTATTGTAATCCTCCCCTCCTGCCATCCCCCGCACTGCCCTCCACAGTGCTGCCTACTGCCACTGCCGCCCCCGGAGCTGGCCTGAGCTCTGCTGAGGTCTCTCCTACTGCACCCTCTTCCCTCCTGGGTGGGCTAGTGGTTTCCTCCACCCGAGAGTAGCCAGAGCGGGCCCAGGGACACCTGGCCCTGGTTCGCACATACAGCTGTGCCTTCTGGTGGGTCGGGGGCTGGGTAGGGGCACCAGGGGCCCAGCCCCGGGCAATGACTGGCTAGAAAGCTTGGTGGAAAGGGACCAGGGTCCTCACATGTACCTCTGGGTTCCAGGCTGGCTTACGCACACTGCATGACATCGGGCCCGAGATCCGCCGGGCCATCTCTGGAGATCTGACCGCTGAGGAAGAGCTGGACAAGGCCATGAAAGAGGCCGTGTCTGCAGCTTCCGAAGACGACATCTTCAGGGTAGGTGGCACCATGGCACACTCTGCACCTGTGTGAAGTCCGGTCTGGAGCAGGAGCAGGGGCTGGGGCTCCGCTGCGCGTGCCCCGGAGAGCGGCCTGAGCTCAGGGGCCATTCTAGGCTCTTCCCGCTCAGCTGCCTCCTGACCCTCTGCAGCCCACGCCAGGGCTCCCAGGACCTGGTGATTCACAGGGGATCACTGGCCCCCAGAAAAGGGGAAAGAGCCATTTTCCTAAGAGAAATGTTTCCTAGGAGAAACTTCTACATTAGAAATTGCAGCGTGAAACTCAAGCCTAGTCTTCAGGGGTCATCTGGAGACATCCAGCCACACCCTCTCCTGGCCATCCCCACGGGCCTGGGCATTCCTGGTCCTCACCTCCCGTGGTGCTGCAGAGGGAACCTTGGGACCCCGAGTGTCTGGGTCCCTCCCTCTCTGGCGTTGCCAGGCATGAAGTTCCCATCCGCCGTGTGCTCCTGGCATGGCTGCGCCTCGCCCGAGGGCAGGCAGCCTCCCGTGCCCTGCACTGCTCCGGTTGGGGGGCTTGTCCTCCACCTACCTCTCCTGTCTTGCCTGCAGAGGGCCGGTGGCCTGTTTGGCAACCACGTCAGCTACTACCAAAGCGACGGCCGGGGCGCCTTCCCTCAGACCTTCACCACCCAGCGCCCACTGCACATCAACAAGGCGGGCAACAGCCAGGGTGACACCGAGTCACCCTCCCATGAGAAACTGGTAGACTCCACCTTCACCCCCAGCAGCTACTCGTCCACTGGCTCCAACGCCAACATCAACAATGCCAACAACACCGCCCTGGGCCGCCTCCCCCGCCCTGCCGGCCACCCCAGCACCATCAGCACCGTGGAGAGCCACGGGCCCCCCTTGTCCCCTGCCATCCGGGTGCAGGAGGCAGCGTGGAAGTTCGGCGCCAAGAGGTAAGCTGGAGGGCGGGCACCCAGGGCCGTGCACAGGGCCACACTCCGCAGCCCGCAGCGTGCGTGCAGGAGAGGGAGGCCGGGCCTGCCCCGCCCCGAAAGAGCCTCGATGGAGGCCATGGCCCCAGACCCCAGCAAGAGAGGGCCACCACCTGCCGATCAAACAGGGCAGCCACGCTCAGGACAGGCCGGCATCACTGTGGCGGCAGCTCCCTCATCTGCCTCTGAGATATGTGTTCTGGCCACACAGCAGAAACCCTTCTGCACTTTCTCCACTCAAACCTGGCCTTTCACCCAGCCTAGAAGGGAATGGTGTTACCGCCTCTTCATCACAGCCCTTCCTGCCCCTCCTGGGCAGGGCACTTGGGTACATGGGGCCTTCTCTGTAGCTCTGGCTCATTCTGCCCTGGGGGTGTGTCATTCCTGGTGGTCTTGATGGCACTCCCGCCTCCCGGCGCCCTCTTTCCTCCCACCTCCCCATCCTCTGCTCCCAGCGCTCTGGATGCGCTGCCACTCTGTGCTGGGAGGTCAGTGCCTGCTTCTGGCTCTGGGCCGGGGGAGTGCAGCCTGGCCTCTGCCGGCCTCCTCCCGTCTACACCTGCAGCTCCACCTCCCAAGGCGGGGCTGGGAGAGGACACACGCTGCCTCTTGCCACCTCACTCTTAACTGTGCTGCTCTTCCAGAGTAGGCCAGAGTCGGACGGGCTGCACGGTTCCCATCTTGCCGGGTTCTTGAGCAGGTCTCCTTTCGTGCCCTCAGGCTGAGAAAACAGCTGAGAAGAGGGAGCTTCTTTCTAAATCCCTGGACAAATGTCCTGAAGCTGCCTTCATCTAAGAAGCCTGAAAACTTGCCCACTGGCTTTCACATGCCGTTGTGCCATCCCTCTTCAAGTGGCCATATGCAGGTTCACGTGGCTTGACAGACAAGTCACACTGGCCACCCACCCTGTCTCCCTTTCCCTCTGGAAGATGGCTGGTTTCGCCAGGCAGCAGCAGCTCTGGGTGCTTGCGACTCTGGGTGCTCCCAAGCCCTGCGACTTGGGAGACATGCACTGGTGCCTCCTTTGCACAGGGCACTGTGCTCAGCCGATCGGAGAGTGTCCGAGGCTAAGTGACTTGCCTGTGCCTGTCCTCAAGGCCCCCGACCTTTTCTGCAACTTCACCCCTCTTGTACACCCTTTGAGTACTCAGTCCTAGCACCACTTTCTCCCCTGTTCACCTTGTCAAAACCTCTTCATAAAGAAGAGGCTCATCACGTCCATAGCATCTCAGTGTGAATTAAATTACCTCCCTGTAAGGGCATTTCCATATTAAATGTTGTTCTGTATCATGTAAGGGGAGAGTGGATGTTAGAGAGGAGCTGGGAGAGAAGACACCAGGGGATTTCCGTGTCCCCACAGATACATCAGTCCGTGAAATGAAACGCATACAAAGCACCTAATGCAATGCCCTGCACATAGTAAGCGCTCACTAAATGTCAGTTCCCTCTCTTCCCATTGCAGTTGGTAAACACAGTACTCAGGCTGCTAAGCTTCAGCTTGGTGACGAAAACCATAGCCATGTCCTCTATGTCGCAGTTGAGGCTAAGGGCAGTGGCTATGGCACTTGCTTTTGCTGAGAGCAAGGCAGCACACCCTGTGCTCAGCGGTCCCCTGAGAAGTGGAGCTTGCCTGCCTGCTACCAGTCTGCAGCCCATCCTGTGTGCCTCGCCAGAGCTCACCCCACAACCCCTCCCGCCCTCCTGGAGCTCTGACGTCACTCTCCTCCAGACTATAGGTGGGCTGGAGGACGTATGTCATTCCAATTTTACAGAAAGGGAAACTGAGGCATGGGATGGGCTAAGTGACTTGGGCCAGAGGGTAAGTAGGGGTCAGAACTCAGATCTTCTTGGGTCCTAGCCCAGAACCTTCTCCCACATGGAACCCTCACCCTAATCTTAACGCTTCTGTGGCTCCGTGTCTACATCATCGACTACAGGAGGCCGAGGTGCAGCAGCTGCGTCTGTGTGCATCTGCTTGCGGGCTGTGTGCTGTCTTGCTGAGGGAAGGGAGGGGCCTGGCAGTTCCCCATGTATTCTCTGTCCTGGACATCATAGGTGCCACTCCCGGGAGAGCCAGATAGCCATGGTGTGCTCAGAGGACTTGTCTCCCGACAGGACCTATGACGTGAAGACGAGCGAAGACCTCGAGTCCTGCGGCGAGCCCAGCCTGCTCTCCGCAGAGAGGTGAGCGCGCCTGCCTCTGCCCAGGCCAGCCGGGTGGGGACGGGTCTGGAGAGGCGGGGGCAGTCCCTGAAATCCCTGCTCTGGGGATGACCAGGGAGGAGAGCAGACCACGTGTCATAAAGCGTACGCACAGCATCTCAGCTCCTTAGGGGAGGGACCCTCATCACACACAATCCCTTCTAGCTCGGCCCTTCCTCACTGTGAAGTATTCCAGGACAACGTCTAAACATTGATTCTTTAGGCTGTAATCAACAGTTACGGATGTATTTTCTAGTAAGACTCAGTACACATGTACATATACTGACCATTAAGTGTTTCATGAAACTATTAAATACTTAAACAATAAAGCTGCCCAGAAGAGAGCACTGTTGGCAAAGCTAGGGCTGAGATTTTTCTCGATGAAGGAATTTGGGGGTTTGTTCTTGTTTGTTTGAAATAGGATGTTGCTCTTTCACTGGGGCTAGAGTGCAGTGGTATCATCACAGCTCACAGCAACCTCAAACTCCTGGGCCCAAGCCATCCTCCTGCCTCAGCCTCCCAACTAGCTGGGACTACAGACACATGCTACCATGTGTTAATCAGTTAATCTTTTCTATTTTTAGTGGAGACAGGGTCTTGCTCTTGCTCAGTCTGGTCTTGAACTCCTGACCTCAAGCAGTCCTCCCTCCTTGGCCTCCCAAAGTGTTAGGATTGCAGGCATGAGCCACTGAGCCCAGCTGCAGTTTTTTAACTGCAGATCTAAACCAGTAAGATTGTGACTTCCGTTTGATCAGTTACAACTGGCACTTTTAAAAGAACAGCACAGCACAATAGAAAATACCAGAGTGTATCAGATGTCGCAAAGGCAAGCACTGTGCTGTGAAACATTTGCTTAATTGCCAATATACATACATATCTTCTGAGTCTTCTGTAAAATGTCTTTAAGACTGTGGGTTGCACTCAAAACAAATTAAGACACACTGTTTTAGAAGCTTGCCTGAAAGTACTTTACAGTGAGGAAGGACTAGCCTTTTAGGCTTCTGAAGACAGGAACAGTGTGGCTGGAAGTGGTGGGAGGGGGACAGCAGCCCCCACCCAAGGGAGTGTCGGGAGAGGCAGACCACTGCCTGCCCTCTCTGGGGTCTGGGAACTGGGCTGGAACAGTGGCAGAGGCATTTCTTTCTCCCCTGGCGTAAAAGGAAGAATCTAGTAAGGAAAACATGGAGACAGTAGCCGAGGCCAGCAACTCCTGGCAGATCAGTTAGCCGCCCTTGCCTTTGCGCCCCATCGGCAGAACAGGGCAGTCGGGTGAATGACCTATTTTTCCGGCTTAATGAAACATAGTATATGTAAAACCAAAGGAACTATCTGAAGTTCCTTAAGAGATAACATTCTCTAAACTGATTTTTAGAAAGTGGGAATTAACGTGTGGCCACCTCTTCTAGAAATCAAGGACAGCAGACCTTTCACCCACTTTGGCTTCTACTGGTGCTTGGGACATCAAGTGCCCTGCCAGCTCAGGACTGACGGGCTTCACCCTCAAGGAGATTTTAGAAACTAGTTAGGAAGCTAAGAGGATCTCAGAAGAGGAAGATGACAGGGAGATTTTCTAACTAATTGCCCACAGAATGGTCTAAACCCTGAGGGGTATAGGCATTCAGAGAAGGTCAAGGGGCAAGGTGACCTTCACGGTACCGCACAAGGTCACACAGAAGCCAGGTCTGCAAGAGTCGGGAGGAATTTCCCAGGAAGGAAGGATAATAGGAGGCTGACCTAGCTGAGAGTGACAACCAGGCTTGGAGGCCGAAATATGTGAGGCTTTCGCTCAACAAATGTTCCTGCATGTCTATAAACACCTGAAGTCCTGGGCTGTGCCAGGAACAAGGACAGATTCCTCAGCAGTGAGGGATGGCACTGGGGACAGAGCCAGCGGCCTCAGCTGGACCCTGAGGTGGGAATGCAACTGTACTTCTTGGACTGTAGGCCACACCGCTAGGGATTATGAGATACATTTGGTGGGTTTGCAGCTGACATCTTTTAATAAAACAGAACAGACTACAGTAGACTAGAACTCACCAGAGTGCAGTCATGCAATGAGGGCAGAAAGCACTTTGCATGAGGATCGCTTGGGTCAAGAGGTTCACCCAGTTAGGGATATCTGTGTGTACTGGGAACATGCACAATGTATTTCTTACCATAAGTCGCCATCGAAAGGCCTGGAAGCCACAGCCGAGACACTGCTGCTCTCGGTGATGACAGGGCTGCTGGGTGGGCAGGGGCACGTCTGGCCTGCAGCTGGCAGCAGCCAGGGTGAACAGCACGAGCATCTGCCGACACAGGGCCTAAACCTAGGGTTTTCAGCTTTCTCAATACCTTCAACCCAAGAGTGCCTCCAGTGCACTCAGAAATCAGAAGAACAAAGCTCATAAGAGGCTGTGGGTGAGGAGCTAGAAACCCCGCAAGCAGGTTGGATGTCCCTGCCGTGCCAGGACATCCTGCTGCCCCTCCCCACTCCCGTGTGGAAGCACAAAGAACACAGGCCTTCACTAAGGACAGAAGCAAACTGTGTTCTGGGGTGGCAGCTGTCCCAGTGGGTGGCCTTTCTCGGCCGGGAACAAGCCCCAAGAGTTCTCTGTTCCAGGCTTTCCTACCAGGATGATGAAAATCGACAGTTGACGCCCCCAGACGACAAGAGGGACATCCGGCAGTCCCCGAAGAGGGGCTTCCTTCGCTCTGCCTCACTAGGTAAACACTCACCTGCTCTCCCATGTGGCTCATGGTCACCCCCAAGAGGACACTGGTCAGGTGCTCAGCCACGACTGAGAGGCCCTGTGGCCTGGCTCCAGCAGAGTCCACGCGGCGGACTGGGCAGATGTCCAGAGCGAGATTGGGCTTCCAAAGGCAGGGCTTGTGGGGTGGCCCGGTCGTATGCTGTGCAGTGTCTCAGAGGCAAGGTAAGGGCCAGGAAGGAGGTGGGTCCAGGGCCACAGACATTGCTTCTCACACCCCATGTGCGTGTGGGCTGTCGCGGGCCAGGGTCCTCTTGCCCTGCCCTGATCCTGGATCTTTGGCTGGCTTTGCAGGTCGAAGGGCCTCCTTCCACCTGGAATGTCTGAAACGACAGAAGAACCAAGGGGGAGACATCTCTCAGAAGACAGTCCTGCCGCTACACCTGGTTCATCATCAGGTAGCTCTCACTTTGGGACAAGCTACTGGCCACCACCTAGCAAGCCTGACAGTGCCCAGGCTGAGGGATGAATCCTGAGATGCCAGTCAGTCTTCCCTGTCTCAAACGAGGGCCTCCCGCTGACAGCCCCTGGGAGGCCCTACTCTTCTGTGCAGGCGAGGGGGTCTGTCATGTCACTCCTGGAGACCTGGGAGACACTGGCAAGCAGGAGCTCTTCTCTCGATCCTGAGGGGTCAGCAGCACAGGGTTCTGCCCAAGCTTTGTCCTTCCGACGCTGCAGATGTTCCGCACCAGGCACTGGCTAAGGCTGCAGGGTGCCCAGGCAGCTGTGGTTGCACCTAGAAATGTAGCTGCACAGAAATCAGTCCACTGGCACACAGGAATCAGTCCACTGGCGCACAGAAATGACCAAAGAACCCTCCAGCAACATGGTCAAGAGGAGGGAATGATATCTAAGGAAGACAGGACCAGGGAAATTCACTAGGTGAACACTCAGCAGGGCTGACTCTAGCTGGGAGACTGACATCCAACACCGGTACCAAATATATCTTAGTATCTTAGAGCTAACTTCAAAGATTTATCTAAGGCAGGTCTATTAACTGCAGGCAAATTGGGGTCTAAACCTGGTTTCCCAACTTTTTTACCTTTTTAATTATATGCTCCTTTACCACAGACCCACGCTTTAGGTGGGTTTTTTGGTACCCAAAGGCATTCAGCTGCCCAGCAAAGCTTATAATCAGCATAAGAGAGCCAGTGTGGCTCAGCTCAGTTGCTGCTCCTCAAAGAAGCACATTGTTTTGCTTGGCCTGCGCGGCATTGCCTAAATGTGCATGATCTCCACTGGGCTTTCCAAAATGTTGGCGTGGCCTTACACTCCCTCAGATCCCCAGGGACTCTGGAGCCCTAGGCTGGGGACCACCATGGGGGGAGAGGGCGGGGAGGCAGAGGTAAGGACATGGTCTGTGCTACTTTAAAAGATCAATAGCAGCCAGTCACCCCCCCCCCACGCTGCTGTTGTCACACTGGTAGGCAAGGCTCTCCTCTTGGTGTGGGGCCCTCTTTGTCTGGCCCCTCTCTCCCACACGCGAGCTGGTGGTCTCTTCCTCTGCCTCTCAGAGTTGGCTCTCCCACCACACCGTGTGGCCATCCCAGGGGCACATCGTACCAGCGCCGCTCTCACAGGGCCTCTGTCCAGGGCAGGTCATCGCGACAGCTGCGACACAGGCCACGGTCCCTGCCCTGAGGATGCCATATAGATCGTGTAATTACAATATAGTGTGAGATTTAGACAGTGGCTCAAAGGCAGCCTGAGCCAGAGATTGGCAGGGCATTGTTTATGGCCCAATTAATTATAAAAATTAAAACAACTAACACTGGTTTTGTTTAGCTCTTTATAATGTGCATTGTGCTTCCTTGCGGAGCTGATTTCACTTGCACTTCACACCGACCCACAGAGCAGATAGAGAGAGCATTAGTGTTCCCGTTTACGGATGCTGCAGGCATCACCATTCTCTCGAGTCTGCTGATGAGAAAGCCAAGACGGCGAATAGGGCCAGTGCTAAGAAGTAGATTATCTTGGTCCCACTCAATCACAGCTTCCTAAAGTTAGAGGAAAAAGAGATCACTTCAGACCAAGGTGATCATAAAGTATATTTTGAGGTGGTCGAAACTTACGCCAGGTCTGGATGAGGCAGGGTGCAGACGAGGGAAGAAGGCATGCGGATGCCAGGCAGCGCAGCTCGCTGGGGAGCAATAGCCGCAAAGCCGTGGTCATGCAGGAGGCAGGGGCTGCCCTTCCCAGGCTGACCACTCTGATAACTTGTGCTCCTTGTGTGTCCACAGGCACTGGCAGTAGCTGGCCTGAGCCCCCTCCTCCAGAGAAGCCATTCCCCCACCTCAGTCCCCAGGCCGTTTGCCACGCCCCCTGCCACCCCGGGCAGCCGTGGCTGGCCCCCACAGCCCATCCCCACCCTGCGCCTGGAGGGGGCTGAGTCCAGCGAGAAGCTCAACAGCAGCTTCCCATCCATCCACTGCGGCTCCTGGGTTGAGGAGGCCGCTCCTGGTGGTGGGAGCAGCAGTGCCACCCGGAGGGCCCGGCCCGTCTCCCTCACAGTGCCCAGCCCAGCGGGGGCGCCGGGCAGGCAGTTCCACGGCAGTGCCAGCAGTCTGGTGGAAGCGGTAGGTGACTCCCACCGGCCATGCAGCTGACTGGGGGGAGGCCACAGGCAGCAAGGAGGCTTGGTGTGGGGAGCTGAGAAGGGAGTACCCAATTCCTTCCCAAACTGATTGCATGTCAACCCATTGCACCAAAAATACCTTCCCACTTGGGGCCTGCAGGAGGACGGCATGGCACGCAGGGAATTGTGACCACATAAGAAGCCATCGGCTTCTCTTGAGGCTGGGACCACTGCAGAGGGAGAAGGAAGCTTCTGTGCAACATGTCCGTGCTGCAGGCTAGTGAGCTCGAGGAAGGCCCTGGGCCCCCCTGTGGAGCCATCGTGTGCAGGGACTGCCCAAAATGCACATGTGCTCAGGCTGCATTTGCACACATGGGGGTCAGGATCAGTGGTGCTCACCCCGGACTGCTCATGAGAACCGCCTGGGGAGCCCCGGAAACCCCTGACACGTTAACCTGATACTTAGTAAAAGCTCTCAGGTGTCTCTAGTGCACAGCCGAGGTTGAGAACCTCTAGTCTAGAACAGACAGCTGTCCACTCCGCTGCACTCTGCCTGGCCACAGCATCTAGGACAATCCTGGCACTACATTTTAAGGGACCTTTGACAAATTGGAACAAAGCCAAAGGAGAACAACCAGGATGGCAAGGTCCCTAGAAATCATTCCATAGGAAAGCAGGTGGAAGGAATTTGGGATGTAAACCCCGAGAGATGACCTGTGGTATGCATCTCACACCCGCGGTGAGCAGCACAGGGAAAGGTCACAGCCTGGCCAGGGGGTCTGCAGTGCAGCTCACATGAGGAAGATCTTCCCAACTAAGCGCTCCCAAAATGAGGAGGGCTATCCTACAAAGTAGTGAGGCCCCCAGTAGCTGGACATAGGCAAGCAGAGACAGTGCCCATCTGGCCATCAGGCTGCCGTGCAGGAGGTGGGTAGTTAAAACAGACGCCTGCTAAGGCCCCTTGCAGCTCTACCTTCTGATGCTCAATGTGGCCTTGGAGATCCTTTATTCATCTCACAACCCCCTGCTGAGCACCTGCAGGTGCCTGATCTAGGTACAGAGTACAGCCCAGAACCAGAGCTGCTGCTCTCGGGAGCTCACACTGTGGTGAGAGTGAGTCAGTAAACTAGGCGCCGGGCAAGGAAAGAGCGATGTGGGTGGGGCGGCAAGGCAGTCGTACACCAGGGAGGAGACTGCCCGGCTGACCTCTGCTGTCCCCTCCCACCCCTCGGCTCAGGAGCCCAAGTCCCCCAGAGCCAGGCTGCGTCTCCCCCAGAGCCAGGCACTGACGCAGCCGGGGAAGATGGAGGAGCTTTGGGGTGCCCTGCGGGCCCCTCCCAGCAGGAGCGGAGGCAGGAGCACGCAGCGTTTGCACACGTGCTTCTGGGCCCTCCCCAAGGGCAGCCGGCTGGCGGCGGGGCCCAGCCTGGCAGTCTGGCGGCGGGAGAACGCGGCGTCTTGGAAGGGCTGACGCGGGGGGAGGTGAAGGGCAGGCTGGATCTGCAGAGCCCGGCCGCCCTCCGTGGGGCGAGTCTTTACATGTCTGACGGCAGTTTGTGAGCACCCCTGCCACAGTCCCCTCCGCCTGCACAGCGGGCCGCCTCCACGCTCGCTCGCCCTGCCGGGCGGGCGCCGCCTCCGCCCGCGCACCGCGCTGCGGCAGGCCGAGGGCGCGTGGGGCCCAGTGGCGACGCTCCCTTGGCTCTTCTTCACCTGGGCCTCCGCCTCCGCCCTCCAGGTCCTGATTTCGGAAGGACTGGGGCAGTTCGCGCAGGACCCCAAGTTCCTCGAGGTGGCGACCCAGGAGCTGGCGGACGCCTGCGACCTGACGCTGGAGGAGATGGAGAGCGCGGCCGACAACATCCTCAGCGGGGGCGCGCGGCAGCGCCCCGACGGCGCCCTGGCGCCCTTCGCGAACTGCAGGGACGCGGGCCAGGCCCGGGCGGGCGCTGAGGGCGCCGAGGGCCGCGGCGCGCCGGGCGACGGGGAACTGCGCGGCGGCGGGCTGTGCGTCGGCGGCCTGTAGCCCGCGCCGGTGTCTCCGTGTCCCATGGGTTCGTTTCAGAAGTGCCTCACTGTTCTCGTGACCTGGAGTTAACCGGAGCAGCGTCTCCTTCCACGTCTGTCGGGACAAGAGCAGAGCCGGCGCGGGCGGGCGGGCCGGCCCTCCTCGCCGCATGCGCCCTGCCGAGCGGCGGCCCGCGGGAAGGACCGACGTCCCGCGGCCGTCTTTCACCCCGGCTTGGAAAACATCACTCGCGCACCTTCCTAGCCTCGCCGTCTCCACGGAGCGGGCCCTGCGCCCTGGGCGCGGCGCGGGGAGCAGGGGCCCCGCAGGGCCGCCGCGCACTCCAGGCCGGCGGGCGGCGGGCGAGAGCTGGCGCCGCCCCGGGGAAGGGCCCGGCTCTCCACGACAGACGAGGTGGTGCTGAGCTTCTGTTGAGCGCTCTTTGGTTTGGTTTGACACTTTTCTTGACAGCATGTTGCGGTTTTAATTTTTTTGTGTGGTTTTTTGATTTTTGTTTTTTTAATTTTGTTTTCCCAGGGGGAGGAGAGGAAGAGGAGTATTTACAAAGTCCTGTAGCCACCCAACCTCACTGTTTTCACTTTCCAAATGCAAGTCAGTTTTGGTTTTACTGTATTATTTAAACGGTTGTGGTTTCCTTTTTCCATGGAGGGGTCAATAGGAGCCGTTATAGGAAAGTTTTACCAGCCATTGTGTATGCTCAATAATTTGTTATCATTTCCTTAGGTAGTAGCCGTTTTTTCTGGTTTGGTTTGGTTTTGTAATTTAAAGGTTCAGCAGTGCAGTTGATACGCTCTTGCACGCATGGGTGGTTGGGCTCGCTTCCTTGCCTTGCTGCGTGTACAGGTGGGTGCAGGAGAGAGCGCGAGACTCCGCGAGCACGTGTGGCCAGCGGGTTGTCCGTGCATATGTCCTGCGTGTGCACAGCACCCACACTGTGTGCCTGTGCACACCAACCAGTGTGCATTCCCCTTTCTGGCTTAACTGCGGGGAGATCCGAATCTGGGGCCATTTGAAAGCAAAAACAAACCACTGTCTCTGCTTCTGAAACGGGAATCAGTAACTCTTTGCATTTTCTGTCCCACAAGATATGCAAAAACAATGCAATAATATTCACTTTAAAAATATAATTGTGAGTTGTGTTGGCATTAAAACTGTATTTAAGAAAACAGAAATTTAAGGGAAAAACTCAAGAAAGCATTTTGCTTCGATATATTCCGTGTAATGTTTTATTGCATTGATAATGTTTCTGTTGAAGAAACTGTTATACTTGAATTCAGGTCAGTTTCAGTATTTTTCAAATATTTTTTTAAAACTGAATTGCAATTGTGCCAAGCGAATATAACGAATTGAATTAAGTTTGTTTTTGAATTTCACTTCTTGTATATTTTGCTGCATGTAAAGTAAATCATTTTGTATTTGGAGTGTGACAAGCTTTACCTTTGACCTCTTAAGTGCTTTTCTATATGTGGTTGGGGGAAAGGGAATGATTTTTCTTTTAATTTGTAGTGATGAGCAAAAGTTCCACCAGTGTAAGTCATGACTCCACAAACAGGTTTGGACATTACTGTTTTGCATATCTTGTGTTTGCTTCCGTCCCCTCAGTTTTTCCATAATCATCTGATAGGTATATTCGTACCACATTCTGCTTGAGAGACCAGGGCATATTTTACTGCAGTCTTTACTCCATCCGTTCTGCTCTGGCTCTCCAATTTGGTACTTCCCCAGGGAGAGCCCTTCACCGTGAGGGGTAGTAAGGCATTCTGTCCAGCCTCCCTGTCACCAGCTGGTGGCAGTGCCCCCCACGGCAGCGGTGGCTGACTATCCATTGACTCCCAGGCACAGGCTTTTCTCACTGGTTTCCTCAGGAAAGTGTACACCGACCGGGAGGATGAGATTTAAGTTGGGCTGGTTCTGACAGCTGCTCTACCTAAACACAGACAGCAAGGGCTTGAGAAAGGCAGGCGGCTGAAACCTTGGTCCATCTGAGCATCACCTCTGCCACTCTCATCCTCCGTCCCCATCCCTTCCTCACTCTAGAGCAGACCTGCCCTGGTGTGTGTGGCCGCAGCGGGGTGGACAGGACAAGGGCAGAAGTGTCTGGAGGTCACCTTGGTGGTAGAAACAGATTTTGTGGGGTTGTTTGCAACTGTCTGTGTGTGCCTGTTTGCAACTACCTAGAACATCACCCTGTTGGTGCTGTGTCCTTCAAATACATTTCAACAGTGATGGCTGAGAAGGAGCCACTTTGGGGGAAATGGGACCCAGCCATTCACCCAGAGCTTACCACTTGAATCTCTTCCAGTCCCAGGGCTTCCTCGCCCCTCTTGTCACTTATGTGAGCAAGCTAGAAATTAAAGTAGGGGACAGTCCATTCCTCAGTGACAGTGAGTTCTTTCATGAAGAGATTCATGAAAATGTGAACAAATGTGTCGGATACTCCCAGGTAAATGCAGAGTCTAGAAACAGTTTCTTCATGGTTCTCCAAGCCCAACCCATCTAGACTTTCTTGGCCCATTCTCAGTGTCATCAGGTCTTCTAGAAATTGACTTTAGGTTTCATCCTTTGTCCAGTTTCCCTGAATTTCTGCCACTGTGCTGCTAAGATTCCAGGTACGATGGACAGGGAGCCCTTTTGAACTGATCCCTGGCTCTTGCTGTACATTTGGCTTCTAGATACAAATGTGGAGTTTTGATTGCACACATACTCTCTCAGCCTTTCTGCCTTCTGTTTTCCCTTCGAACTTTTCATCTGCATCACCAGATCTCACTGTCCAGTGGCCAGTGGTGTGGGCCACAAGCCAGGTTCAGGCCAGCTATCCCAGGGTCCTGCCTGGCCAGCATGGTCCCCTCACACCCACAGACTCCTTCTCCTCTGCAGACTCTGGCAAGCGAACCAGAGTAGCCGTCCTCCCCGCACCCTACAAACATGGTGTCAGCCGCGACAAGGACACCTTGCCCTGTGCTGCTGCGAAGGAAGGAGGCGTGGGTGCGAGCTCCCTGTCCAGGGCAGTGGGTCTTTCCTAGCCTGACCTCCTGATAGACGAGTGTAAGATTCATGTGTGATGCCTGTCATTGTGACACATTGGTACAATGAGTCATCAAACTCGTGAACCACATCCACAATGCACTAAGTGATGTCCACTCTCCACCTAAAATGGAATCTCACCTGTGGTGCTGTAAGACATAGTTGTCAAATCTTCAATAGCTCTCCTGACAACCCGAGTGGCAAGAGAAAACAGCCAGTGGCTAAGGACCAAAAGGACTTGAAGAAATGCAATTCAGGGTCTGCAATTTGGTGAACTTAATTATTATTTGTCCTCTGACCAGCCCTGCCTCTTTTATTTCCACACCTTGGTCATGTAATATTTATTCATGTGCATGGCCACATTGAGCAGAAAGATCTCTAGCTGTCTGCTTTCTGCCTGTTCCTAGAAGGTTCTTTTGGTCTTGTGGTAAAAAGAGGAGACTTTTTCCCAGGATTTGGGTTGATTCATAAATTTTTCCCTGCTTTGATTCCAAAGCTATTAGTTATAGCTCCCTTCTGTCTTCTTAACCCAGTAGGCTTCTCTCTGGCTGGGAAATCCAGTCAAAGGAACAGCTATTCTCTCATCCTCCCATTTCCCTGGTTCCAAATTTCAGGTGTTTGTCTAGAGTGAAATTGCCAATCACTTCCTCCCAGGCACCCTCCATCCAGAACCCTCCTGGCCACGCAGCTGAAGGTAGTAAGGTGACCCCAGGAGGGGTCCACACCAAAGTTAATATCTTTTTGAGAAATGAGAACACTCTGAAAATGAGGAGTTTGGAAGTGATCAAAAGGATGATGGTGGCTTTACAGAGGCTAGTTGACACATGTCCATCACTCGTAAAAGCAAAGAAATAGAACAGGAATTTAGATTAGGGATAGAGTAGAACCCTAGTAATCATGGTTTTTAGCCTCATCAAACCATAATGGTAAATGTTGTAAAAGAGGGTGATGGCATCTCCATCCCCACAGGCCTCGAATAACTGAAACACTATTGTCAGGAGTTAGCAATAATTTGGCAAAGAGGCCAAGAAAAGGGCTGTCTGGCTTCCAGAAGACCTCTTTAAGCCCCATGAGAGTCAAAAACTTGCTGTGAGAGTCTTGGCTTATTCTGTTTTCCAAAGGGGACGTGGCTCTGGGAGAATGTCAGCGCAGAGAGGCCTGGAGGGTAAGCAAGGGCGTGTTTTGACTCTGTAGGTGTCTGTTCTGTTCTATGGAAAGACAGATTCAGCTCAACCACCCGCAGCACGGCAGAGTGGCTGATGCCCCAAGGATCTACTTGGGAAGATGAGAAAAACCTTTCAATCTGGTGGTGTTTTCCCAGCCAAAGCCCCCACCTGGAAGGGCGTGGCAGGAGGTGGAGCCCTAACTGGCCACAGCGCGGCTGTGCTCACCCAGGTCCTGTTCTCCAGCCACTGTGTCTTAAGGAGCTGAAGGGGGAAGATGAGAGGAAGGGGTGTCCTGCCATTATCGGGGACAGGGGCATCTTCCCCCCAGGCAGACCTCCTTCTCCTGCTCCCCTCCCCCAGCCCTTCAAGAGGCCAGCTCGGTGCAAGGAGTCCCATGTGCAGATGCTGACATAGTTTCTTTGTGAAGGCATTTCTGGTTTTAACTTTATTTATGTATTTATTTTTATTTCGAAGCAATGAAATGTTGCTTTACGGAGTCAGATACCAATATACCAGGTAAATGGGTTTCTGCCAGGTTTCTGCATTGTTGGGGAGACACTTGAACAGCCCCCCACACCTCCACACACACACCCTTAGGGCCCGAGGGCTGGGGCTGAGCTCTAGGTAAGGGTGAGCTCTGTGCAGAGGACACAGAGAGAGAACCAGTGACCTCCTTGGGTGGAAACAGTGCCATCGGAGCCATTATTATTATGAAGTAAATATTTGTTTACACTGAGAAAATACTACTGCAACTAAAATCAGCGCTTTTTCCTCAGATGACTTTAAGAGGATGGTCCACAGCACATGAAGTGGTGAAGACCCTCGGTCTCTCCGCTGTGTCAGAGAAGGCTTCAGTCAGCCTCCAAAGGGTACTGGAGGTCGCAGCTGAACTCCTCAAGCACAACGAACTGGTTCGACACAGAGTAGAGTCAGAGTTGGGATTTTCCATGAACATTCCCTCAAGTCTCTACTAACAATAGGAAGACAAAGACTAGCTAAACAAGACAAAGACTAGCTAAATAAACAACAGTTTGAAATGTTATACCTCCACTACTGGCCACTTCACAGGTGCACCCCCCTTTGTGGGGCATCCTGTGCACGTCAATTTTCAGAATCTAAATAATTTGACTTTGTAGGGCTCCCACAAAGGGGAACATGCCTTCACCTGGCATAAATCAAACATGTACTGCAAATTTGCCATCTAAAAATCACTCATGCACCTAAAACCAAGGTCATTATCAGAGAAAGCTCTGGGTGGAAGAGGTTGCAGGTATTAAGAGAGGGTAATTTCTGGGTGAGGAAATTCAGACATGGACAGAGTGGCTCTTGGGGCTGCGTGAGCCCAGAGCCTCACTTACCGGTTTGTGAGTGGGGCGCGCCAGGAGCAGTGGCAGGCCCTGGGTGAGGGGCGGTTCACTTGCTGAGGGAACCTGAGGGCTGCAGGCTCCAAACTGCCTTGATGACGTCCCTCCCGAGCCCTTAGCCAGGGGAAGGGAGAAGAGAAGGCTCTTTCCTGTAGAGTCGCAGGAGGAACAAAAGAGCACAGGTCACTGGGTCCTGTACCAAGCCCCCAACCCCGAGACTTCCCACATGGAGAAACCATACCAATGTTTGAAAGGGAAAATAAAACCTGAGAATCAAGGGCATATGATTTGTAAACACACAGTGCTGCAGAGAGCTTCTTCAGAAGGCATCCAGCCACCCAAGGCTGTGGGCACGCTCCACTTTCACACGTCACACCACCCAGCACCCCTGCCCCCAGCCCCAACCGAGACTCCCCGCGGCGACCTCGCCACAGACGCCGCTGCCCTCTGCGTCCCGCCTGCCACAGCGCACGCTCTCCCCCGAGCCCTGGGACCAGCCTTGGCCCACACGGCCCACGGCAAGCCGAGGGGTGAGCAGGTGGGGCAGGTGTGCGATGGCAGTGGGCAGGCACGGCTGTGGGACACGCACACACAGCCCGTTAAGAGACGGCGCGCGACTGATCCCCGCTGGAAGCACTGGACTGTCTGTTACTCTCACAACACGCTGTTTTGTTTTAGCACGCCACAATTAACAAGCAAAACTTTCCTCCACACAAAAGGCTCCTAACAAAGCTCCTCCATCCTCCTCCCTTCATGTCCCACTGCTTAGACACACCTTCACCCCCGAACCACTCTGTGTCCTGCCTGTTACAGAGGTGCAGAAGACGGACAGTGCCTCCGTTGTCACACACCTGCACACCCCACACCTCCCCTCCAGGCTCCACGACTTCACAGTCTTACTGTTGTAAATACTGGTGTACAGTTTGTAATCGTCGGATAATCCCGTCGTCAAAGGCCTCGCCTGCTGCGCCTTCTCACCCTCGAGAAAGGCCAGGGGATCTAGAAGGGGCAACCTTTCGAGGAGAGCTTCAGGGTCATCTCTGTGTGAGACACTATTGTATATTCCTGTAAGATTGCATTTTTATCCAAGGAATGATGTTATTTAAAAAACAAACAAAAAATACAAAAAACAAGAATTGCAAATAAATTTCTTAACAATGTCTACACTGGCTTAATTGTATCTTCCCTCTTCCATGTCCCTACACTGGCTTAATTGTATCTTCCCTCTTCCATGTCCCTTTCTTTCTCCTGTTTCCTAGAGGTCACAAAAATAAGACTTAACTCTCAATTATCTGAATTGTCTCAGATCCTCCAAAGGGGAGGAGGACTGGAGAGAACATGGGAAACTGTGAACCCAATGTGAATACCTGACCTCATTGTAGCAATTCGTCTCATCATCTATTTCTTCCTTCCAATAAAAGGGTTAACAGAAGAAAGGCCAAAGGTTGACAAGGAGGCAGAATAGAAGGAATTAAGTGATTAATCCACAAAATGGAAAGTCTGTTCCCTAAATAATAGGGAAAGCACTAAATTGGTTTTGAAGAAGAGAATGAAGGGGGAGGGAGGGACTGGGGGAGGGAAGAAAGAGAAGGAGGGAAGATGAGATCACGCATAAAGTACTATGAAGACTAGATATATGCAAGGTTCTTTTTCTTTTCTTTTCTTTTCTTTTTTTTTTTTTTTTGGTTATTATAACTTAGAGTGACTCAGACAAAGCTTCCAGAATAATTTCCTATGTAACAATAATTTGTCCCAGAGGATTTCAGGAAGGTAGCAGAGCAGAGAGCAGCAGGAATCTGTCTCCCCACCCAGACAACAAATGCACTGGCAAAATCTGTCTCATGGAGCTATTCTGAAACTCTGGAGCCTATTGAAGGCTCGTAACTTCCAGGGGAAGGCTTGGATAGTAAATCAAGGTTATTTTTGGTCAATTTCAGGTCTTAGAACAATAGTAGCTCCCCACCTTCCACCTCCAGCCCCATGAAAGGCCACTGAGCACTTGTTCCAGAAGCAACTTACACATACCTTGTGAGGGCCAGGATGGGCAAAAAGTATCCTGTCCTTCAGATTTCAGGGATCTATGCTCAAAATGCTGACTGCTGCTTCTAATCACAGAAGTGGACAGCCACTGTTGTTGCACCTCCCCTCATTGTTGCAAGCCCTTTCCCCACAGCTGAAGTGGTTTCCAGGGAATTTAAAGATTCAGCACCCTTTTCCCCCATTTCACTTTTCTATTTTCCCACTTTGGGAGCCAGACATTAGAGACTAAGACATTCAAAAGCAACTGTATGTGTGGGGAAAATTAGAAATGACTGCACATGCCCAGGGAAAGGTGCAGGCTCAGAAAAGACCTGAGAAGACCTTAAGTTGATACCTCATGCTGATCCTTGGCAAGAGACAGCCTACAAAATTAAAAACAACAACAATGAGTCCTAAAGGAAGGAAAATTTCTGATTTCCAGAGTTACTATATTTTTAGATTCAAATGTCCAGTTTTCAACAAAAATCCACAAGGCACACAAAGAAACAAGAAAGTATGGCCCTCAAAGGAAAAAAAAATCAACATGAGCTGTCACTAGAAAAGATCTGATGGCAGATCTACTTGACAAAAGACTTTAAACAACTTTCTTAAAGATGTTCAAACAGCTAAAGAAAAATGTAGATAAAGTCAAGAAAATGCTGTATGAACAAAATGGAAATATCAATAAAGAGAACACCTTAAAAAGAAACAAAAATAAAATTTTGAAGCTGAAAATAAAATACCTGAAATGAAATTTTTCATAGAGGATTCAAAGGCAGATTTGAACAAGCAAAAGAAAGAATCAGTAAACTTAAAGATAGGACAATAGAAATTGTTAAGTCTGAGAAACAGAAAGATAAAATATTGATGAAAGGTAAACAGAGTCCAAGGAACCTGTGGGACATCATCAAGCAAAACAACATATGCATTGCAAGAGTCCAAGAATAGAGGAAGAAAAGGAAACCAAGATTATTTGAAGAAACAATGGCTGAAAACTTCCCAAATTTGATTAAAGACATGAATATAAACATCCAAGTTCAACAAACTTCTAGTAACATGAACTCAAAAAGACTCACACTGAGACACATTATAATCAAACTTTTGAAAGACAAAGATAAAAAGAGAATCTTAGAAGCAGAAAGAGAGAAGAAACTCATCACATACAAAGGAAACTCAGTAAGATTTACAACATATTTCTCACCGGAAACTATGGAGGCCAGAAGGCAGTGGGGCAGCATGTTCAAAGTGCTAAAAGAAAAAAAAACTGTCAACCAAGAATCTGGCGAAACTGGCCAGGTGCAGTGGCTCACGCCTGTAATCCTAGCACTCTGGGAGGCTGAGGCAAGCGGCTCAAGGTCAGGAGTTCGAAACCAGCCTGAGCAAGAGTGAGACCCTGTCTCTACTAAAAATAGAAAGACATTAATTGGCCAACTAAAAATATATAGAAAAAATTAGCCGGGCATGGTGGTGCATGCCTGTAGTCCCAGTTACTTGGGTGGCTGAGGCAGAAGGATTGCTTGACCCCAGGAGTTTGAGGTTGTTGTGAGCTAGGCTGACACCACAGCACTCTAGCCCAGACAACAGAGTGAGACTCTGTCTCAAAAAAAAAAAAAAAAAAAAAGAATCTGGCAAAACTATTCTTCAAAAGTGAGGGAGAAATTAAGACATTCCCAGATAAACAAAAGCTGAGAGAGTTCATTACCACTAGATCTGCCCTGCAAGGAATTCTTAAGGGAGCCCTATAGGGCGAAATGAAAGGACACTGGACAATAATTTGAAGCTATATAAAGAAATAAAGATCTCAATAAATGTAAATATGGGCAATTATAAAAGCTGCCACTATCACAACAATGGTTTGTAACTCCACTTTTTATCTTCTACATGATTTAAGAGACTAATACTTTTATAAATACTAGTCTAAAAGCTGGTATTATTATAACTTTGGTTGTAACTCCCCATTTTGTTTTCTACATAATTTAAAAGACTAATGCATTTAAAAGAATTATTAGTTTATGTTTTGGGGCACACAATGTATAAGGATATAATTTGGAGACAGCAACAATGGAAAGGAGTGGAGACAGAACTGTAAAGGAGCAGAGTATTTTTGTGTGTTATTCAAGTTAAGCTGGTATAAATTCAGATTGGAGTGTTATAATTTTAGGATGTTAAATATAATCCCCATGGTAACCACAAGAAAATAATAGCTATACAATGTACACGGAAGGAAATAAGAAAAGAATTTAAATGTTTCACTATAAAAAAAAAAATAATCAACTAAACACAAAAGGGGACAGTAATGCAGGAAAAGAGAGACCAAAAAAGCTATATAGAAAACAAGTAGCAAAATCACAGAAATTCCTCTTTATCAATCATTACTTTAATTTAAATGGATTAACTCTCCAGTCAAAGGCAGAGATTGGCAAAATGGATTGAAAATATTAGAGCCAACTGTATGCTGTCTATAAAAGACTCACTTAAGATCCAAAGACACAAATACATTTTTTTTTTTTTTGAGACAGAGTCTCACTTTGTTGCCCAGGCTAGATTGAGTGCCATGGCATCAGCCTAGCTCACAGCAACCTCAAACTCCTGGGCTCAAGCAATCCTGCTGCCTCAGCCTCCCCCAAGTGGCTGGGACTACAGGCATGCACCACCATGACTGGCTAATTTTTTCTATATATATTAGTTGGCCAATTAATTTCTTTCTATTTATAGTAGATACAGGGTCTTGCTCTTGCTCAGGCTAGTTTGGAACTCCTGACCTCAAGCAATCTGTCCGCCTCAGCCTCCCAGAGTGCTAGGATTACAGGCGTGAGCCACTACGCCCAGCCAAGACACAAATAAATTTAAAGTGAGTGATAGCAACAGATATTCCATGCAAATAGTAACCAAAAAAGAGCAGGAGTGGCTATAATAAAATAACAAAAAATAGACTTTAAATGAAAAAAAGGTATAAGAGACAAAGAAAGACATTATATGTTAATAAAACAGTCAATATAGCAAGAAGATATAACAATTATAAATAGTTACACACCTAATAATGAACCATCAATATATATGAAACAAAACCTCAGACACAGTTGAAGGGATAAATAGGCAGTTCTACAATAAGAGTTGGAGACTTCAATACCTCACTCTCAATAATGGATAGAGAGAAGATAAATAAGGAAATAGATGACTTAAACAACACAATAAACCAACTATATCTAACAGACATATACAGAACACTCTATCTAATAACAACAACATACATATTCATCTCAAGTGCACCTGGAACATTTTCCAGAATAGACCATATGCTAGGCAACAAATTAAGTCTCAACAGATTTATTTATTTATCTTAATTTTTCTAGATACAGGGTCTCATTCTGTCACCCAGGTTGGTGACAGTTGTGTGATCATAGCTGACTCTAACCTCCAACTCCTGGGCTCAAGCAATCCTCCCACCTCAACCTCCCAAGTAGCTAGGACTACAGGCACACACCACCATGTCCACCCAATTTTTAATAGATTATAAAAGATAGATATCACACAAAGTACCTTCTGAAACCACAACAGGATAAAATTAGAAATCAATAACAGAAGGAGTTAGAAAATTCACAAATTTGTGGAAATTAAACAATGCAGTTTTAAATAACCAATAGATCAAAGAAAAAAAAATCACAAGAGAAATTGGAAAATACTTAAAGACAAATGAAAACAAAAATACAACATACCAAAACTTGTGAAAGCAGTGCTAAGGGGAAAATTTATAGCTATAAACTCTTAGGTTAAAAAACAAAATATATCTTAAATTAATAATCTAACTCTACAACTTAAGAAATTAGAAAAAGGAGAACAAACTAAACCCAAAACTAGAAAAAACCAGGGAAATAATAAAAATTAGAACAGTGATAAATGAAATAGAGAATGGAAAAACAATAGAGAAAATCAATGAAACCAAAAGTTGGTTCACTAAAAATATCAACAAAATTCAAAAAGCTTTAGCTAGATGGACTAAGAAGAAAAAAGAGAAGACTCAGATTACTAAGATAAAAAATAAAAGTAGAGACTTTACTACTGATTCTACAGAAACAAAAAATATTCTAAGAGAGTACTATGAACAATTGTACACCAACAAATTGAATAATCTAGAGGAAATGA